CATGGAAGGCAAAGCAACTCCTTCAGCCAGGCCGAAGAGAACGCGAACGAATAGGAGCATGGCAGTGGAGTTTTCAGCAGCCAATGGCGTGAGGAATGTGGCGATCGACCACACAGTTGCGCCGCATGCCATGACTAGCTTCCCCCCATATCTATCAGCAAGAGCTCCTCCAACGACGGATGAAACCAAGTAGCCCCATAAAAATGAAGACTGCGATAAAATTAATATGCAGTCATCAGCATGCAAAAGTTTTAAAACTACAAACGATGTGCTTCTCTTTTTTTTAAGTATAGCAAAGCCCTGGACTCAACACTGACCATAACCAAATCAGAATCTTCACATCTGGAAAAGACACTTTTGTGAAGGGAAAACTCAATTTGGGAAAGGAATTCGTTAATGTTCACAAATTATAATGTGATCATGAATTGTTAATGTTCACTCAGCTTGGGGCAGTCAATCAATACGTAAACAAAGGTTTTCTTTTTTGTAATGTCTTGCAAAGAAGGGGGGAAACATAAGAAAGAAAAGGCGGCAAAAGGATCGAATACAAATCCTATCAGAACCATCCGAGAGTGGGACAGTTCCGACCATAAATATAGGATAGTTAAAATTCCCAAACACTAAGGGGGTGTTTGGCAATTTGAAAGTGAATTTAAAATATGTAAATTTTTTTTTTTGCAAATGACTTTTACATCCGTGTTAGCACGCAAGTGAAATACAATGTTTGTTTGAAAAATTAAATTATTATCGAAAGTGCAATGTGAAGATGACGTGGCAAAATAAGTTTAATTATACTAATTTTAATTAAATTAGTTACTTTTTTGTCACTTTCATGTGACTTCGCCATTTTTTTAGGGGAAGTTAAAATTACATTAAATCATATGTGGCAACTTTCTTGCATCTCACTTTCATAACCACTTACTCGCAAACAAACACCTAAATTGTTAAATAAAAATAACTTTCTTACTTTCATTTTTTACTTACATGCATACAAACACCCCCTAGTTGATTGGACCAATGGAGGTTCGTTGAGGGGAAATATTTGAATATTGAAACTGCACTCCTCATTTAATAAATAAATAAAATACAAACGTCTCTATTAGCTAACCAAATCTGATGGGGTGATGGGATCATAGGAGCAGGTGAGCCACCAACCTCAGAAAGAAAGAAACAGTCATGCTGACATTTAATTATTTCTTTGTGAAAGTTCCACAGATGGTATGCATTGTCCACAAAAAGCTGGACTAGCAAAAAGAGATCAAAATTTTCAAATTTATAAGCAGAAGAATTTTGGTGCACACTTATAGTCTACGGATGCTGAAGCTGTCGAGGGATGAGAAGAAAGTGAAATAATTCAAAGATTTTTATTCCCTCGTCTTTGCATCAATTAAGAGATAAAGAGCCTCTTAAATATGCGCACCAACCCCCAACGATGACCAAACAAACAAAAAATAATCCCAGCTTGGCAGGAGACCGAGACCAACAGGCTACACAAAATACTATAGAAGAAACAATCAAAGAAGTTTCATTTCTAGCACTTAGCCCCCACGGGTTGCCCCTTTTTCCAGAGAGTCAAATTGCAACTAACACCCCTCGGGGGCCTAAATCAAATTAGACGAGAGGATTACGCGCAATCCAGCCTTAAATTAATTATTGACTAGGCAATTATATATGAAAAATTCCCTAAAGACTCAAAATATGAGACCAACGGGAGGACACGTGAGCTGATCATAAAAACTCATTATGCAATAGGAGGGGACACCTCACATGTCCCCTGTTGATCCCATATTTTAGGTCATTGTAGCAAAGCTCATTATATATTAATATTAACTCACCGATGGAATCCGACAGAATGACTGCGACCAAGCCGCACCTTTGCCGGCGAGGGGGCACGCGCGGGGCGAACAGACAGTGACGACCGCGATCGCGGCGGTTGGGCGAGCGACTGAATCGACGCCACAAGCGCGCAACCGTTCCGCTCTCACGGCACGGGACACCAGGCCCGCCCCGGCGCGCCGCGCGATCTCCCCCTCGCAAACGCCTGCGGCGCGTCGGGCAAACGAAGCGGCTTCGCTCCTCTCTCGCTCCGCCCTTCGGTCTTGTGCTCCCGATCGCGAGCCGCCCGCAAGTGTGCTCCTGGCTGCCGCCGGTAAGCTGGCGGCTCTGCGTCCGATTTGATCGAGGCATTGCGGGCGAGGGAGGCTAGCCGGAATAGCGCGGGGTGGGAAGGTCCGCTGGCCTCGGTGGGTACGGAGCAAACCGCAGAAGCCATGACCAAAATGTTTAGGAATACGCGTGCATGAATGAATGAATGAATGCGGGCTTTGTTCAGGTAGATCCGCGCGATGCTACCGAGGCTGCCTCCGGTGAACGAATCAGAGAAAAAAACGACGGCAAAAATCGCTCCGGGGCTTTGAATGAGCGGGTTGTTGAATCTGGCCAGGCTCTTTAATAGATTTATAATTCTCAACTAACCGAGTTTGGAACTGGGACAGGGTGAGCTCAGCAATTTTTAGCTTTCGATTAATAAACCAGACCCCTGTGTGCTGCAGCCTGCAGTGTTACCGCCTCTAGTTTTATTTTTTGCGCACGGACCCCCCCTGAGCGAAATGTTTTTTCGATTTCTTTTCTGTCCTCGCAGAAAAGAGTTTTTTCTACGAACAATTTTTCACTTCAGCCCCATTTAATTTTTTATTATTAAAATTGATTCTTTTTTTTTATTTATCAAAACCGAACCGATTTCTTGATTAGCAGTTTAATCATCTTCCTAATTAGTCGGTATTGACAACCCCGACTATTTAGGAGGGTGTTAAACCCTAATTAGAAGCCTTAAACCCTAAAAATTAAAGTCCTAAATAGTCGCGGTTGGCAACCCCGACTAATTAGGAAGGTGATTAAGCTGTTAATCAAGAAATCGGGTCGGTTTTGGTAAATAAAAAAAAGTGGTCGATTTTAATAATAAAAAAATGGATTGGGGCTTAAGTGAAAAAATGTTCGTTTTTTCTACTCTTCTGTCTTTACAGAAAAGAATCTTTTTTTCTCCGATGCTTTTATTGACTTGCACGCAAAAAAAAAAAAAACCCGTATCTCCTAATCCAGAAAGCGGATTCTTGACATATAATGTAAGAAAAATCACTTGTTTCGACGAGACGGGGTCAATCAGCTTGGCAGATTCCTGGAAGCCCGTCGGTATCTCCCAATTTTGATAGAATTTCATGAATAATTAGCTTTTAGGTTATTTCAATTAAAAATTTTGAGTCTTGCTTTTTATTAGAAAATAAATCTAGTTTGGTCTCGGATTTGACCGGCTGATCTCCTCAGTTACAGGGAGTTTTATAAGGTGAGGATTTAATAGATTTTTATTTCTCTGTAATTCTAGTCTCATTGGGATTGTTTCTCTATTTAAGAAGAGGCATGTAAGTTTAGAATTATTAGACCATTTTCTATCAATAAAACTTCTCTTGTTATATTTTATTCGCGGGTTCACAAATCATTCTTCGTGAACTCAAAGGGCGCTTCTTGGTGGATTTCGAGGCTAATCACTTTCGCGCTGCGTTATAAGACTTCTAAGCGTGGACGAGTTTAAGATGTTTTATTCATGGAATTTATCTGCAAAAATAAATTTAGAAGGACAGCAACTTCAAACTTGCAATTATAGAGGGCCTATCCGCAATTAGATTTGAGCCCCGGCTACACCTTTTGTATGGAAGCAATTCTAGCCAACAATAGCGAAGGGTGCTTGTTAGCTGAAAAATCCCATAACAGCGTCAAGGAACAATAATGTCACTTTCGTGTTATAACTGCCACCGCTTCTGAAAAGCACAATTTACCGGGTGGTTGATGGCGTGGGCCAAACCCTGCAACGGTTCAGTATCAGCAATTACCAACGAAGAAGATTGACGCATCGGCCCGCTACTAGGCAACTGGCATCACCGTACGCTTCCAATTTATTGCATGTGATGAGCAATATCGGATATGGCACCACATATTCATCAAGGGAAACGTAAGCTGATGCTTTGGTTTAGAAACGGAACCAACCAAACTAATTATATTATATAAATATTTCACACCGAGCATAAATGTGGTCAGCGAGAACCAACAACCACTAAAAGGTTGGGGGGGCTGCCCTTGTAACGTCCTGCCCCGGAATCCCGGAGTCGGTACGCTATTAGATCTGATGGACTAGCCTCACAAACCACCACATGTCTTTTCAACACGTTTTGTCCTCACTCACGCGCTCCCTGGAAAACTTCCCAGGGGGTCACCCTTCCTAGAATTTCTCCAGGCCAAGCACGCTTAACTTTGGAGTTTCTAAGAGTTGGGTTTCCGAAAAGAAGATGCATCTTGGTGGTATGAGTATTCCAATCAAATCTATCAATACTAATCACATCACCCTCTCAAGGGCTGGGGTATTACAGCCCTGCAACTAAATCTTCCGAAGACAAATCAATATAGTTCAACGTTGCGCCTTAACTTTTCAAAAATATACCATAATGAAATCCACAATCATCCTCTGTGACCAGTTAGCTACATAGAACACCAGCAAATAAATATCTTATTCCGTGCAAAACACAATGATCCCGAAAAAAAGAAGAAGAAATAGATTGCTGAATGCGAATACAAATAATATGAAATATACATACAAAAAAATTCAAAGGTATCAGCAGGGACATAGCATGCGTCCAGACTGAGCAATCCTTCCCTATGCATTTAGGTTACTTTCGCGTAATTTTCCAGAATGAATGACTTAAAAACAATTAAAAACATAAATCTTATGCCCATTAATTTTTCAGTCCAGTAAACAAGCTGGACTGCTGTATTCTGATTCTTCTCCTCGTTTATCTACTTAAGCTCATCAACTTTGTACTGTGAAATTCTTCCCCCTTAATCTATTCTGCAAGAGGTTTCTTGTTCAAGAATTCATTCAACCATAATATATAAGGGAAGCCAACACCCATGTGATTAACTTGGTCAACCCTACACAAAGGAGAGACAGTAGAGGTTCTGATTCTTTTTTACCTTACTTGAAACTAAGTAGGAATTTATCAAAATTTCAAGTCATAACAGCACAAAGCCCCCTTCAACATTAAGAAGATTTTCTTCTTTTTTAAATAAAGGACAAGGTAATAAACTACAAACTTTGCCGGTGACATGCACACTAAAAGCTTACTGATGAGTTCCATCAAAATCAACTCTCTCTCCGGTAGAAAAGAAATCCCAGAATAATGTCGCAATGAAATAAAGGAATGCGGTGAACATGAGAAACCCACGAAAGGAACCCATCCTTTCAACAAAGAAACCTGCTCCAATGGTTCCCACTATGGCGGCCAGGGTTCCAGCTGTATTTGACATTCCTGAAATCAATGACCAAAAAATATAAGATGGACATCATTTAGCAGAACATCAATGTATGCATGTCAATGTAAATAGTACCGTGTAAAATGCCTGCATATTGTGGAGCTATCTCCTGAAAAATATAAAGCAAGTGGAAGTAATTAGGAATTTGCATATAATACATTTTTCTCGATAGGCACTCTAAGGCTATGAAAATTGACTGACCTGGAGATTCACCAGAAATCCAGCGTGGCTAAAGGAGCTCAAACCAACAGCTGCCGTAAGCCAAGCTGAAGCTACAGATGGGCTTTTGGCTGCATTTAAGCCAAGAAGAGCAAGTCCAGGACCGAGGAAGCCGATTGACTACAGAGAAGTGAAACAAAAAATAGTTAAGGAGTTAATAGATCACTTTCAACTCGGAAAATCTAATACGAAAAAATAATGAACAAGACTACATTACTTATCTATGTTGCCTGACATAATTAAACTGATGAGGACTTTTTCACAACTAAGTTATTCTAGTCTTCATAACTTTCTTTTGCATTTTCTGAGAAAATTATTAATTCAAACATGATTAAACCTTGTTCACAGAATGACAGATAACAACTAAGCCTTTCCACATTGTGTGCAAGAGAATGGATATGTTCGATATGTTCCTTATAAGCACGCATAAAAGTTGACAAGTATAATATAGTTTGAGAACAAAATATTAACATGACTAGCAGAGAACAAATTTACATTGCAAGAAAATTTCCTTGAACAACCTAAATAACTTGAGAACAAAATATAAGCACGGCATTCTACAAGTGAGAGAATTAATTTTTTTTAAGCATCGTCCGTAAGAAGCTGTAAAGTTAATGAGCACACTCGAGAACATAAAATTCATACTTGTAACTCGATGTTGCAATTTTTCTAGAAACAAACTCCATTTGAATTACTTGTGTGAAACAAACTGTAAACGCGAGAAGCAATACCTGCATTACTTTCCGAGTAGAAGTAACACTTCTACCACTTTGAATCAACATGTCCGAGATAAATCCAGCAGCATACCCTAACATTGCCATCATAGCCCATGGAAGTGCACTGAACCAGGCAGCTTGTCTCAGGTCAACGTGATAGATCTGTCCAACAAACATGCAATTAGATGCATTTTTTGGTAACTAAGATGTAAATGCCCAACATGTATTTAGCATTATCAAAAGATACATACTGTGTTGAAGTATATTGGCATCCATGAAAGAATGACAAAGTAACCCTGCAATTTCAGTCAAATCAAAATCTGAGCAGAATAAATAATGCTGCGACAATGAGCTAGAGGAGAGCCAACAGAAAAATTACCCAGCTGTGCATGGCATTTGCAGAAATTAAAGCCCACGTTGGCATCTTCGAAAGTAACTTCTTGAAAGGAGGGATTATTGTGGATTGTCCAGGAACTTTTCGGTGATTAGTTAGAAGCTTCTGACTCTTATTGATATAGTCTATCTCATACCTTGATATACAGGGATGTTGCGCAGGAGTACTTGAGGTTGCTGCCAACCATACTAAGACCCAGAGGAATCCAAACAACCCGAAGATCACAAAAGGTCCAAAAATTCCAGCCTTTGACATGAGGATAGGGGAAATCAAGAGCCCAATTGCACTACCAAGGTTAAACCCAGCCATAGCAAGCCCAACAGCCCTGGACCGTTCTACTTGAGGAAACCATCTATAAGGAAAGGCCAGTTTAAACAACTTTATCAACCCCACAGAATTGCACAATCCTTCAGGCATTAAAGATACGGAATTCTTAGAACAACAACCAAACATATGCCAGAACTTGACCATGCATCGCATATAAAGAAAGGTGCAGGCTAATACCTGGAGACCATGTTGTTCATGCTCGGAAGTGCTACTCCTTCAGCTACACCCAGGAGAATTCTCATGGAAAGTAACGCCCACAAGGAAGTTTCAGCAGCCCAAGGAGTAAGAAAAGTAGCCAGGGACCATAGAGTTACACCACATGCCATGACTACTTTACCGCCATAATAATCGACCAGCGCTCCTCCAACTATGGGAGACATTAGATATCCCCATAAGAAAGATGACTGTTTTCAGTAGCTCATACCAAATCAGGGATAACTCTCTAAAACAAATAGTAACTTACACTGAAGATATCACTAATACAAAAGCCTCATCTCGTTATACTTCTCAACGCATAAATTTCATAAGAGGAGTGACAAGTATAAGCAGTTTCAAAGTAATTATCGTACCAAATGAACTAGACCACTTAGCGTAACATACAAAGAGTGCAAAGTGACCAGTTAAACAGAGATGGTTATTTAAAAAACCAATTTTCTTTATTATCTTCTTCCTAAGATAAATTTCCTCCCCTGTAGTAAATATCTAAGACTGTAATAAGAACTTAGAAAGTTCCCCTATGAGTTCATATTTTGTGAGTCCTTGAGCCGGTAGATAATGCACGCCCATCCGATTTGCTCCACCTTACCGCCACTCGACTTTCTCACTATACCAGCCAGCATACATGAACTCTCTGTTCGGAAGAGCTAGGTTTTCTCATGATGGAAAAAAATGGCAGGCCGCCTCTTTCTTCTATCTCGTATTTTTCAGCTCTTTACTTTCTTTTTTTTATCATTTCGATTTAGACGACGGATAGTTACCAGGTTTTCCCCCCATTTCTGCCACAAAATCCACACTAAGATCTTTTAGGTACACAGCTATAGCGAAATGAAGTTCAAATAGTTTAAGAAGGCTTCACGTGCAAAGTAAAGTTAACCAACCACCCCCCCCCCCCCCCCACCCACCCACTCCAACACACACACAAAACTGTAGCAATACCTGAACAATCCGCGCAAAAGATTGAGTCATCGGCACAGAGCTTTTAGAGCAAGGGGACAATGGCCACCGACATCACAACTCGATCGGCATTACACAGCGCCAAAGCCAACCCTAGCATCGCCACAACCTTGACCCTCTCCGACGTCACGAACTCCAACAAGCTCGGCCCCTGCATCTCGCTCTCGTCAAACCCTAACGGCTCAAACCCTCCGTCTCTCGAAACTCCGATCGAAGTCGAACCCGCTGCGATCTTGGGGGTATCGGCTCCGCTGAGTTGGTTTCGTCGGATTTTTGGAGGGTGAAGAGAATTCGGAGAGATTCGCCGTTGAACTCGACGAGCGGAGCTTGGGTTAGGAGAGAGCGGGGGAGGAAAGGGGAGAGGGCGATGGAGGGAACGAGCTCCGAGGATCGCCATGCCTATCTGGCGCTCGATGAAATGGGTCGGAAATTGAGATTCTTTTTTTTTTGAGGCTCGTGATTGAGAGTAGAGAGTTGAGGATCACGTGACTTGCACATGTTTGAGTGCTTAACTAACAAACAAAGAACTCGCACCGTCCGGTTTTCTCGATAGAGCCCTTCAAATCATTATTAATTGGGAAAATTTGCAAAATAGTCCGTTTTTGCTAATTATTTAGCAAAATAGATCATTTTGCTAAATAATCAGCAAAATAGAACTTTTTTTTGGCCAACAGGCTAAAAAGAGGTCTATTTTGCAAAACAGTTCAGAAAACATACGGGACTAGTAGTTTCGTATGTTTTAATCACGGATTCGTGAACTCAGAAAATTTCACAAAACATTGAGATGAACTCAGAAAACATACGGGACTACTAGTCCCTTATGTTTTCTGAGTCACTAATCCGTGATTAAGTTGGCTCTAAACATACGGGACTAGTAGTCCGTATGTTTTCCGAGTCTTGTTTTTCAAAATCGACCTTTTTTTTTCAAAAGAGATCTATTTTGCTAATTATTTAGCAAAACGGTCTATTTTGCTAAATAATTAGCAAAAACGGACTATTTTAAAAATTTCCCCTTACTAATTTGAATTGCGAAGACAGCCCCTATAATTCTATTCTATTTGTTGCAAGCAGGACCTCATGTAGTTCTGCTTATTGCGAACAAACCCTCTGCATTAAGTGCGAATATACCCTTTTGGTAAACTTTTTTAACTCTTTTGAAATAAATAAAAAAATTAGTAATTGAGTGTCTATCCTCACCAATAGAATTATAAAGGGATCTATCCGCCTCTGTTTATGTACCGATTTAGAATAGGAGCGAAACGGTTCAAATCATAAACATTATATTTTGAGTCACCCAATCGCGTGAGGGTGTTGCTAATAATTTTGTACTCCCAATTTATGTTTGCTTCCACAATCTAATTCCCAACTTTGCGCTGAAAGTCCCACCCCCTCGTTAACAAACATGACCGAGAGCCTTACTCCAATCTAGGGAAAGGCTACGGGGCCCCCTCTAAATAACCGCATCCAAGAGCCACACGATCAAACGAAACAAGACATGCTGCATCAGCCTAATCTCACCTTAGCTCGAACACTACATCATACCAAAACTCGACGCACGCCACCTCCTCCACAAACGGCTTATCTCTCTGCGCTTCGCTTCCTTTCTTGATACTCTCGAGCAACGAACGGAACCACAAAGCGTCCTCCGAACACTTCCTGTCATAGTTTTCGAACCTGCAGCGGAAATGGAGAACGGAGTAGCGAGCTACGCTCGCGGAGCTACGCTCGCGCGACAGCTCCGCGCAATGTCTTGTCGCGTCCACGCCCTGCCGCACCTTCTTTCGCTTCTCCGTCGCTGAAATCGCCTAGGAACGGGGTGAGTTCGCACCTGGATCATTAGCGCGTCAACTAGAAGCTTTTGCAGTGTTTTTACTAGCTCGAACTTCTTGCAGGGTATTAAAACAAGCTTGCTCTTTGGCCAACCATTGAGGGCGAGCTCGAGGTCCTTACCAAGGAGTAACAAGGCGGCGGGAAGCTCGTCAGGGACCACGAAGTGTGAGATTGGAGATAGTCTGGTAAAGTTATACGTAAACAAATAAATACCGTCCAAAATTCCAACCTCATTTCACTTTGATATCCCGTCCAAATCTTGATCTTTTACATAAATTTATATCGTGTGCTTAGAATGTGATGCGCCCATCGCTGCTGCTGCTGCGGCCGTTTGGTTGGTTAGACCACTAGCAATTGAGCAAAAAGAATCTATATGTGATGCAAAGTTAGCAGAAAACCTAAGAAATGCGGACAGGGGTATCAAAGTGAAATAAGATTGAAACTTTGGGGTGTCATAGTATGAAAACATACTTTGGAGTACCAATTGGTGAAAGTAAGCCTCAGATGTATGGAGATGTTACTAACTAGGTTCTTGTCCGTTGTACGTAGGAGGAGTTTTTAGCGAAGGCAACTCCTGATAAGAACCTCATAAGGCTGTTAACGTGCATGGGGGAAGCACTGAGAACCATCTCCTTCAAGGTGAGGACGGCTTCATGCGGAGGGACAGCGTGCGTGAATTCTTTTGGTGATGAACAGCTCGCGGTCGACATGCTTGCTGACAAGCTCCTTTTCGAGGTAATGATCATTCCTTTTAAGTTTACCGCTACATTTGGTACTTCAAGATGTCTTGTTCTGCACTGTTAATTGCGAGTTGCTGGTCGAATAATATACTTCTCGTTTGCTCTTCAGGCATTGCAATACTCACATTTCTGCAAGTATGCATGCTCCGAGGAAGTCCCTGAGTTGCAAGATATGGGCGGACCAGTGGAAGGTAATCAGCCTAATATATACCATGATAGACCGACAGTTTTCAAATTTGAATCGAAAATGAGCCTCCAAGCGAACACGAAGATTCATGTGTTCCTTAGGATCTTCCTGAGCTGTCGTATCGATATTTTGAACTTACTACCCATATGCTTTTATTTTTATAGATAGACACCCTGCTGTGTTTTTTTTTTTTTTTTTTCTCTTTTTCCCTTGAAAAATAGGACATTATAATTTGACAAATAAACCCTTCAAGGGTAAAAGAGCCAAAAAAACACATAGGGGATTTGTGCCGACCAACATTATACATCAAAATTTCATTCTCTTGCTAAGCTTGGAGTTCAGAGTTACAAGGCTTGTGAGAGTTTAAGGAGGGATTATTTGTGCCTTTTAATCTTGTTATGCATGCAATGATATCAAAATCTTCAAGCTTCTCGTGAAGTTATCGATGCTTCTCTCTGCTAATCCTCTTAATGCTTTTGAAGAAAAGAGAATCCATGGCAGGTTCTCCTCAAAAGTAAATGTAGACTAGATATCTTTGCAAATCAAATATCAGACGACTGGAACTAAGACGGACCTCTTGAATTCCCTTCGAAACACAGGTGGGTTTAGCGTGGCGTTCGACCCTCTGGATGGTTCTAGCATCGTTGACACAAATTTCACGGTGGGCACAATCTTTGGGGTTTGGCCGGGTGATAAACTCACTGGTGTGACCGGAGGAGACCAGGTTGCCGCTGCAATGGGCATATACGGTCCTCGAACAACTTACGTTCTCGCTCTTAAAGACATTCCAGGAACTCATGAATTCCTCCTCCTGGATGAAGGTATTTCTATAGTCATCTCCCTTAGTTTAAGAGTTGAATTGCACATAGACCCCTGTAGTATCCCTCTAGTTCATTGTTGCAGATAGACTTACCCTTGGTGAAATCTTGGCAGATGTTGCCCCAGGTGAAAATTAACGAGTTTGTCTGAGGGTAAGAGTCAAAATAAAATTAAAACGATACTCTACGCGATAGTACGCAATATCTAATTATCTCGGTGAATGCTATAGGTAAGTGGCAGCATGTCAAAGACACAACATCCATTGGAGAGGGAAAGATGTTCTCTCCAGGAAATCTAAGGGCTACGTTCGATAACCCTGACTACGACAAGGTGCTCATTTTCAAGCTTTCAGTTCCTTTATGAAGGTTAAATGACTATAACCAACAAAGACAAATGTATATCGTCTTTTCAGCTGATCAATTACTATGTTAAGGAGAAGTACACGTTGAGGTACACTGGAGGAATGGTGCCTGATGTCAACCAGGTAACAATATTCCTAACAAGTAATAATATTCCTGACAAATGCTGATTACTTCTCAATGTTCTAATAACTGAGTGGACATTCATTTGTTTCACCATTAGACAGATATTTTAATAGGTTAATTGTGGACAAAGCACCCTGAGATATCGCCCGATTGCAGATAGACCCCATTAGACCCATGTACTATCGGCCAATTACAGATAGACCCCCTGTAGCTCTATAGTTATAGATAGACCCCTGAGTGAACTTTTTGACTCTTTTTCCCTCGGAAAAAGAGAGAAAAATAATTTTTTTTAACAAATAGACCTCCTGCAGGAAAAGAGTCAAAAAATTCACTCAGGGGGTCTATGTGAAATTTGACGATAGTACAGGGGGTCTATCAGCAACAATAGAACTACAATGGGTCTATCCGCAATTGGGAAATAGTATAGGGTCTATCCGCAATTAGTACTATTTAAAATTTCTGTTACTAGCCATCCTATCACTGTACAAAAAGTGGCCAACTCAAACAGTAGTAAGCTGGGTCACTTTGCCCAAGGGTAACATAAATCTGGACACCAGAACTATTCTAGTAGTTGCCCTATTGCGGATTTTTAATAGAATTGTTCTGACAGATCATAGTAAAAGAGAAGGGTATATTCACCAATGTGACATCTCCAACTGCTAAAGCTAAACTCAGATTGTTATTCGAAGTGGCTCCTCTGGGTTTCCTAGTAGAGAAAGCTGGAGGTTTCAGCAGTGATGGCAAACAATCTGTTCTCGACAAGGTAATAACTACCCTTGACGAGAGGACTCAGGTCGCTTATGGGTCTAAAAATGAAATCATCAGATTTGAGGAGACTATGTATGGGTCCTCAAGGCTAAAGTCTGGTACACCTGTTGGTGCTGCTGCTTGAGATTGATAGAGCAAATCTTGTGAACATCAACACTTTGAATCTGGCATTGTAATAAAGTGCCAACACCTTCATATTTAGAATTTGAATGTATAAGATCAATATAAGGATCAAACTTAGAAGGTTAAAGGTCCTGTGTCTGCAGCATTTCTGTTCAAATCTGTACAATTAAGATACTTCCTTTTTTCTTGTGGTGTTTCTATAATAGATAATGAAACTTTCTTGTAAAGCTATCATGTTTCACGCAAAAAAAATGTCTCTATAATGTCGACTAAGAGCAACTATAGAGTATTTTGTTAAACAATGAAATATATAGGTATATACAAGTGCTAGAAATTGGTTATTTGGTTTCACTTTCAGTAATAAAAAATCACCCTCATACTAACTACGATCTAATCAATTCTAGATATATGATTAAAAAACTGAGTTAGGAAAAGAACCTGAGACAAGCCACTTCCTGGCTTAGTAAAATTGAAGCATGCTCCTCATGAAGAGATGAAAACTATTGTTAGCGCTTACCATTCCCAGATCCTCATTGGAAATCTCTATACTACTACTCAGCAGTAATCGTGATTCAGCAAAGATTATATGCCATATGCCATTACTGAGCAGCTAAATCTGAATGCTATTTGAAGGCCACATAGGGGTTGAAATAAGTTTGGGAGAGTGCAAATTCAAAACGAGTTCTCACTCAAAATTTATGGCCAATAGTTGTAGCAGATGCATGGTAACAAATATATATATATATAGAGAGAGAGAGAGAGAGAGAGAACAAAGCAGCATGAGTGTTGTCTTAACTGTTCTCAATAAGAACGAATTCTTGCTGTTCAAAGACTTGATAGACATACAGACAGACAACATAATGAAACAATATAGCAAAAGGAAATAAAAGGAAAGACTTCCAAACTTGACAAAAACCTATGGGGTATGATTCTTTTTTCCCCCTACAGGTAGTAAATTGCCCTATGGCATGTACACCTGAAAATAACTATTTATATAGCACTAACTTGATCCATCATTTGTAAATTATCTTCTGACCTAAAATCTAAGGGCACCTGAATCTTCTTTCCAGTCTCATATAGAGCTGATCCTATCACCATTAAGCACTGTGCAACGCTCCTTTTTTCCAAAAAAAATCATTAAGGAACTCCCATTCGCAACAAGCCGAAACAGAAATTACCATGAAACAAATTTTAAAAAATAACACCGGAGCAGAAAGATAAGGTTATCTCCAGTCTATAGATGGTATTGCTATAGATGGTATTGCTTACTTCCTCAAATCAAGATTTCAAGAAAACACTCACTTGTTAACGCTGGCTTCATGCCGTGAGAAATGGTAACTGGTAAACATGCTAGCAGCCAATATATGCACATATTCATTGATTCCTTGTTACACTTTATTTTTCAAATGTAGCTGCAGAAAAATGTAATCAATATTAAGAGCAGTAAGAACTGCTCTCAGAAAAGCAACAAGCAGCTCTTCTGCTGCAAGTAAGAAAGTAGGGTAAATTTCACAACATCCCCAAGAAGTTTGGCTATTTTGAGATAACCCCCGAAGAGTTTGGAAATGTCACTTAACCCCATTTTCTCTGAATTTATTTTCAGAAAAAACCCAATGTTTTGGGGCTTATAAGAAAATGCATTAGGAATTAAGTTGTTCAAACTTTTGGGGGTTGTCTCAAAATGAACCGAACTTTACCCAAGCAAGAATCTATAGTTGTTGATAAGAAAGGTAAAAAAGGAATCTAAACTATCAATTTTGTTACCACCCTTTAAAATATGTACCTCATACCTTGCTCTTTTGTTCAATCCCACCCAAAGCTCTCATCATCACTGTAATCAACTATCTGGGCTCCCGATCTGGTACGGATGCCCATCCATCTGAGAAGGCATACATTGAAGTAATAACTGACAATATCTTTCCTGCTCTTGGTTGTGAAATACTCCAAAGCAGGCTCCCAGAAGCTCTTGCCCTCCGATGTAGGATTCTGTCTCACAAGCTCATCAAACTTCATCTGTTCTTCTTGGGTCCACGACTTGGAAATTTCTTCCTCGCCTATCTCAGAAAATCCCAAACCAAAGAAAGCAGGACCCAAGTCAGATTTAAGGTGAAGCCTCGCTGTCTTTACATGAAATCTTATGCACCCGAAAGATCCTCGAGAGGTGCAATCACACGAGTATTCCTTTCCTTTCCCAATCATTTCCTCGCTGATTTGTCTGTTCTCCCCTTCTATTGGCCAAATTTGTGTACCTAACCACTTAGAATCATCTCGCTCATCAGATATATTTTTCTTATTTGCTGACTCTCTCCAGTCAGGTACATCAGCCTGAAAGGTGGGGCCAACGGGAATACGTTTTCTGGGAAGTTCCCCGTTGCCTAATTTCAGCAATGTCCTTGGAGATTTTCGTCTATTTAGCGCACTGCAGTTATCTGAGCCACCATTTTTGGCACTTAGAAACTTATGGCTCCTTTGCTTTTTCTGAAACAAGCACAATTCAATTGGTACAAATTTCAAGAATGGTAAAAGGCAAAGATTCTCACATGTGTGTCTTAAAAGATAAGTGACAAGTAACAAAAAATGCAAACTTATGCAAGAATTAAATTAAAAGTAAAGAGGCAATGACTAGCAGAAGGTTATGAAGTAGTGGAAACGTAATCAGATAACACAACTCGTTCTCGTACGAGCAAGAACGCAACCCTAAGAATAGAAAACCTTCCGAAATATAATAACCAGGATAAAACTCTACATAAAATTTGTCTTCCACACTTATAGCATGTAAAGAATGCAATATTATTAAATTAGTCTCCTACACTAAAGAGCTAACATATAAAAATATAAACTAAAAGTAACTAGAACTCTTGGATGTGTAGTTCGAGCCTGAAGACGACTTCACTTGACCTCAAACTGAGCTAGAACCGTGAAGCAGTTCTAGGCATTTCCTATGCTTTCTAAAAACATACTATAATAAGGATCCGCTGGACCAAAATTACCTTTTCCACTTTAATCATCCAGCCTTCGCATGATCCGATTTCTCCCAAAAGGCATCGGCTATTGCCTCCAGATTAGATTAATAAATAATATAAGAAGCATATGTATACTAAGCACCTATGTTGCATGGGTACGGGTACGGGTATGGCTATGAAATCCGTATGGGTACAAGACACTGTAAATTTGTAAAAAGATAGGGTATACGGATACGGCTATAGAAGTATTTATATGCACATATATTATATATTGGAATTAATTTATATGCGAACAAGGATCAGAATTAAAATTTCTATAACATTTTTATGTTTCTTTATTATGTGGATTATAAATTGGAAAACCAGTTAGTTTTTGAACTAGACATCCAAACGACTCTTCAAAATCATAATTTGGTACTACCTATGTCCAACGTGTTGGGGTCAAATAAACACGCAACCACCGAAAGGAGATTGTGGCTATCAACAAAATCAAGCCAACAAAATGAATAAGTCAAAAAATAAGAGAGCTTTCGGTGGCTTGTTGACAAAGAGAGAGGGGTGGCCAAAGTTTAGGGGAGCCGTTATTGTTGACAAGAGGGGGCATGGAAGCTATAAAAACCCCCCTCTCCTCTCACTTAAATCATCATCAGAATCAATTAGCTTCTGAGAGCTTGAGTGAGATTATTGAGAGTGATTGAGAGAGCTTGAGAGAGATTATTAAGAGAAGAAAAAACAATCAAGAGTGATTTGTTGTTTGTAAGATTATTGAGTGATTATAATCTCTATTTGTACTCTCTCTCCCTCTATTAGTGAAATCTATTTCCTCTTTGCCCCGTGGACGTAGACACATTGCCGAACCACGTAAATTTAGTGTTTTGCTTGTGTGGTGCTTGTTTTGGGTGTTGATTCGTGCTCCTATCTCGGATTTGATTTCGACTCCGCTGCGCACAACAAGTGGTATCAAAGCGTCAGATTGGCTTGGGGTTCAATTTGGAGGATTGGAGAAGAAAGCTAGGGTTTTTACAAGGGATTTCATCTTCTAAGGAGTGGTGGAGAAATCAATTGGAGGATTTGTAAGCTGTCTAAAAATCACAATAGATAGCTTATCCTCCATCAAACACCGATGATGGAAGTTACAATCTGACGACTTCCAGAATGCTACAATTTGAAGACTTTCACGTAGATCGCTGAAGGTTACAATCTGACGACATTCACGACAACTGATGGAAGCTCTAATTCAACAGCCTTCACAATCAACATCGGGAGTTACAATCTGACGACTCTCATATTCTCAAGGAACCAAGACGAAGATTACAAGACAATGATCTTTGCAACGCTATGACAAAAAAAGATTACTTGGTGATAATCTCTTCAAGGCAAAACGCGGAGGTCCTCCCCGTGTATCAACACCAAAACGCGGAGGTCCTCCCCGTGTGTCAACAATAAAACGCCAGGGTCGAACCCGCGTTTCAACATCAAAACGCCAAGGTCGAACCCCGCGTCACAACATTAAAAAAAACGCCAGGGTCGAAACCCGCGTTACAATATCAAAACGCCAAGGTCGAACCCGCGTTACAACATCAAAACGCCAGGGTCGAACCTCGCGTTACAACAAGCGAAACGTGAGCGACCCTCGCGTTCGTAGGGGTCCAGCCAACACCGACCCCCGCGTTTCTAAGCTACAACAAACCAAAACGCGAGCGACCCTCGCGTTCATCAATGTTCAGCCAACACCCAACTTCGCGTCTCAATTCTAAGAGGCGAAGTTGGGTTCTGAACGCCAGATTGGGCGTTTTGACTTGTTCAAACACAAGCCGAACGGCCTCAAAACCGTTTTTCCCCACGATCTGAGGAAATCACGCGTTCAGAGTTATCAACTCGTCAAGAGTTTTAAACTTGCTACGCAAGTTCTCCACAACGTCAAATCGTGAGGAGAAGACATTGTTCCAGTGAATCAAGATATTCGGATCGTCAACGGAGAGCAAACTCGACGCGAGCATTCGAGGGAGGCACTCCATCGCCACCGTGAAGAACCCAGTTTTAAACAAAGGGGAGAATCCAGATCATTCTCTTCTCTTTTGTAATCAGGAAATCCAATTGTAACTGAGATTAAAGGAATACAAATCAATTTTCCTTCATTGTCTTTTTATTGCAAATTTTCCCACAAACAAAAGATGGCGACTCTGCTGGGGATGAGCTTCTCTAATGAAGAAGTGGTGGCGCAATCCGATGTTCATCTCACTGGAACAATCGTCGAAACTCTCGTGGTAGAGTTTGATCAAGCCAAGTTTGAGGAGGCTATCTCCTCTGGATCTCTTAGCCCCAAGGCTATGCGCAAGATCCACAAGGTCTCCAAGGAGAATAAATCTCCAACTGTTACTGGAGTGCCAAAGAAAGTCCTCTCTTTTGCCACAATTTGTGGAACAGCCCCTCTGCTTCAGGAGCGAGCTTAGCCTCAGCCGAACTTGCCCAGCGAGTTGAATGTCCCACATCCGCGTCAGCACGACGTGTCATGGGAGGTAAAAGGCCTACGGCGGAGATAGATCCAATCAACGCCGATAATGCCCCTGCAAAAGCCTTGAAACAGGCCAAGAAGAACGCTGCTCGTCGAAGAAGAAGGTCTCAGCGACGAGCACAACTTCGAAAAAGTCAATCCTCCAACCAATGCGAACTTCGCGTTCGTGAGCCTAAACACGACCCTGAACTTCGCGTTTATGAGCCCAAACATGAGCTTCGCGAGAACCAGACTGAACGCGGCCCTCAATGGCGCGTTTTACAGCCAAAACGCGGACATCAAGCCTTCGTTGAACGCGAACTTCAACTTCGCGTTTCCAAGTCAAAACACGACCTTCGCGTCGACGCTAAAGAACGCGACCCTCATGTCGCCAAACCAAAACGCGACCCTCGCGTTTCAAGTGCCAAACGTGACCTTCGCGTTTCAAGGTTGAGGGGCGGATATAAGAAGTTTATGGATTCAAGGCATCTCAACCAGATCCATATTCACCAAGAGCCAGTCCTGTCCAATCATGGACTGGGGGTTCCAGTTCAAACCTCACAATCAGTGAGTAATTCTCCTCGAATCTTTATAACAGATTCGAGAGAGTTCACATCGAGAGAGAGATCGATGCAACAAGTCATTCGCTTATTCCAATGTGAACGACTGATTCCTACGGTCCTCTCGGGATGTCAATGCTGCTCATATGCGGCCCAACTGTTGGTGTTCAACCAATTTACGAACGTTGCTTTACCCAACCAACGACGATGTTCACACAAGAAGAAGACTTCTGAGGATGAATACCTTAGAGTCACTTCTAACATGATTGGCAGAGGGAGATCATCAGTTCCTAGTTCCGATGAGTCAGAGAACGATCAGTCTCCTGGCTTGAAAGACTTCCTGAATAAGTCCGATGGAGTTTATCAACATACTCGGACACGAACAGGAGCCATTCCCCCTGTCAACTATCGGAGTTTAGCCAGGGGAACCAATTCCAATGATGAACACTCAGCCATTGCAGAGTCCCAGTCATCAAGCTCTTTTGTTGAACATGAGAGCTTCGCTTATATGACGGGAAACCATGAAGATCTCGCGAAGAGACTTGATGAACAGGAGGCCATGCTCAAATCTCAACAGGAGGCCATCAATAAACTCATGGCCCTGTTGACTCAAATTGTCACAGACAAGGCTAAATCTCAGAAGACAGATTCGCCACTCAGGCAAGAATCTTCCCGGAGGGAAAGAATGTCTTTATCCCGAACTCACACAAGCAAATGGAAGGGAAAAATGGTTGATGACACGGCTTCTGACCAAGAAGCCCACAACCTAGAATCTTCCTCTGATGAAGGAAGAGAGACTGAGAACGAGTATAATCTTCAGTCTGCCAAAATGGAAGAATTGGAAGCCCGCCTCAATGTCATTGCCAACAGAAGCGAGCTCCAAGATGAGGGAGTTGTCAGGCCCTACCCTGCCGAATGGGACGCAGCCCCTTATCCTCCAAAATTTGAAGTCCCGACGCTACAAACTTTTGACGGCACGGGATCACCGAACCAACATATTTATCATTTCAAGTCACATACTGGAAATGTAATATCAAACAATGCCATACTGGCTCGATTGTTCATTGGCACCCTCAAGGGAGTTGCCTTTGAATGGTTCAGAAAATTGCCTGCCGGATGTATCCAAAAGTGGGCGGATCTAGAGAGACTCTTCCTGTCAAGATTCTTTGAAGAGGATACAGAAGTCTCCATTCATACACTTCTCGCTACTAAGCAGAAGAAGAGGGAGTCCGTCAAAGCCTTCATCAAAAGGTTCCGAACCATGGCTCTCCGGTGTTCGTCGGGTATGACACAGTCTACCTTAGTAGAGACCTGTCGACACAACTTGCAAACCGACCTCCTAGCCCGAATAGGAGTTGCAGAATGTCGTTCTTGGAGACAACTGATCTCTCAAGGCGAACAGGCTCAAAGGATTATTGTCAGAATCAAAGCTGAAGAACAAAGTAGGCAGGATCAACCTGA